CTCTCTCTCTCTCTCTCTCTCTCTCTCTCTCTCTCTCTCTCTCCCTCCCTCTCTCCCTCCCTCTCTCTCTCTCCTCCCTCTCTGTTGCACAACCTGGTCTCAAACTCATGGACTCAAGTGACCCTCCCATCTCTGCCTCCCAAGTCGCCTGAGACTATAGGTGCATGCCACCGTGCCTGGCTGGTTCTTGACCTCTTTGGGTCAAGTAATCCTTTGAAAATCTGTTGAAAGCTGGTGACTCATTCATCCCTCATGGGGGGGAAACCACACATGCTTGCAACATATTGACTAGGGGATTTACACTAGAGTTCTCCAAGGAGAAATTTTATTTCCGGGAATTTATAAAATTGTCATGGTCTGTGTTTCCCAAGTGAGTGTCTGAACTTGGTGTCCAGAGCGTCCATACTTTTGAGCCTCTTCTGCATTTGCTTCAGAATACTAACCAGGCACGAATGATCTGAAGTTCCAAACCCTTCTGGCTTTATTTTAACCATGCATTAGTTTCAGCCAGATTCCCAATAGAATACAAAACAGAATAGATTGGAATCCCCCACTCTTCCTTGTCTTGATTCTTGCTCGTCCCAGTGGATCACCTTCTGATTATCTAGTTGGAGGAGAACAAATCAAAGAGTCAACGAGGCAGGTGAGAGCCGGACCGCCTACACACCCGAGTTTGTGCATTAGATACATGCACAAAAGTGAAAAGAATCTGCGTCTAAAATCAGTGAGTAGACAATAGCCTCTTCAGCACACCCTGTTCTTTCCTTGGTGTAAGTGAGCCTGGACCAGGCTGTGGATTCTAACAGCCTAGGAACCAGGGTCCCCCAACATGGAAGCTCTGGCCTGTCCCTGACTTCACAGCCCTAGTAGTTGTGGTATGAATGAAGATCTGGTGGCCCCTGTGAGACAAGCGTTAAGAGTCACAGCCCGCTGGGTTTGGGAAAGGGAAAGAACGCAGGAGAGGTAGGATTTTTTTTTTTTTTTCCTGGTTAAGATTCATGGGGAAAGATTGCTCTCTCTGCGTCCTTCCGTTCGACCAAGGTGTCTGTTGCTCCATAAATAAAGCGTCCTACTGCTTTGGTGAGCACTATAAAGGCAGCAGGAAGACTGTTCCCAGGGCATTCCGGGCAGGCAGAGAGCACCGGAGCCCAAACAGGTGAGTTCATCGCAGAAGATGCAGTAGGCTGCACCCCGCCCTGTTGTAACTCTCTAGGGATGGGACTGGTCAGGCGCCTGCGGGCAAGGCAGGAGAGGCATCAGAAAAGGCGAGACAAAAGGAAACTAGGGATAGGACCAGGAAAGTCGCTGTACCTTTCCTCAAGCGGGACCGCACTGCTGCAGCCCCGAGTGTGCGTGGAGCTGCCTCTCCTACCGAGTGCAGGGAGTACGGGACCCTTTCCCTGTCTCACAGGCCCGGGTCCGGTCCAGGGGAGATTTCAGAACACGGACAGCGCCCTGACTGCCCAGGGAGGGCACCCAGTCCAACACCCCAAGTCCCGAAAATGAGGCTCACTCCCTGGACATTCTCGGGTATCTAGTTTGGGAGACACTGGAGTCCTCAGTTGCTGTCCTTCAGGTGGCCGTAGGGGCGGTTTGTCGCCAGCGCCAAGAACCGCAGGATCAGACCAGCTCTCTAGCGCGGCTACAACAGGTGTCACCCGCGGCTGCTCCCAGGTGCCAGCTGCGGACTGCTTGCCCGGTGCTTCCGAGTGTCTTTTCTCATCGCCTCCCTCCTGACCCGTGGTCGCAGGCCATGGCAGCGCCGAGCAGCAGGTCGGAGCCGCAGCAGCTCGCCGAGTACAGCTGCAGCTACGTGGTGTCGCGGCCAGTGTACAGCGAGCTCGCCTTCCAGCATCAGCGCGAGCGGCGCCTGCAGGAGCGCAGGACGCTGCGGGACAGCCTGGTGCGGAGCTGCAGGTACAGGGGCAGCCGGCAGGTGCCGGGGCGACCCTCCCGGGAAAGAAGCGCAAGCCCGGCGGTGGGGTGCGGCATAGCTCCGCGCTTGCTCTTCTCGCACAGTTCCCAGACAGAGGCGGAATTAGTCCAACTTTGTCTGGAGAAACTCCCTATTGGTGAAGGCGGTGTCCGGTCACGACACCACTCCAGTTTCACTTTTTCTCTTTTTCTCCTTTCAATGAAATCTGAAAGGCACCTTGGGGTCCAGTGGCTGTGTGCTTCCTTCTTGTGAAGGCCAGGCTAGGGGAAAGCGGTAGGAAAGGAGCTCATAGCAACCGATGATGGACAAGCCTGGTCACACCAGGGTCAGGGTCGCTTTCAGAGACCTGGAATTAAAGCTAGGAGACAGGTGTTCCAAGTGCTTCAGGAAGCAGTGGGTCCCCAAACCCCAATGAGCCCCAGAATCAGACACCATAAACTTAAAAAACTTGGCAGACACTCAAATAATCGCCAGATTTTCTTCATTTAAAAAAAAAAACAAAACACTCTAACTACCTAATATTTAAAGTATATGCAAAATAGACGGGTATTAATACCCGAGATTTTACTATCATCCCCTTCAGTAATGATCATTATGGGATTAGTTCAACTTATCTCACTCACCGCCACTCACTTGCTTCCTCTAGCATTATTTTAACATACTATTGTGTTAATTCTTTGAAGTTTGTTTTGTTTTGTTTTTCGAGACAGGATTTCTCTGTTCAGTCCTGGCAGTACTGGAATTCACTCTGTAAACCAGGCTGGCCTCGAACTCAGAGATCTGCCTGCCTCTGCCTCCCAAATGCTAGGATTAAAGGCATGGGCTCCAGCATGATTTTTTAAAATCCCATGTATTGAATTTTTGTTCTGTTACCATTCTCCCTTGGTATCTATAAGGGATTGGTTTTTAGGAACCCCATAGCAGACCACTCAAATTTCCAACTTCCATATATATAATAGCTTAATGTTTGCATATAATCCATACACCCTCCAGTAGTTTCATCTATCTCTAGACTATTTATAATACCTAATACCATGTAACTGCACTGTTAACCACTGTCACACTGTAAAGTTTAGGAAATAAGGGGGAAACCCCTTCATATGTTCAGCACATTTTTCTTATGTTTTTCTGTAATAGGTTGAAGTCACAAAACTTATACAAATTTATACTTTGTACCATGTGTCAGATAAGGAGGGACCACCATACCTTTTTTTACTGTGTACCTCCAAGGATTTAAAAATATATAATTATGTCTTATTATCCACCTAAAATAATCCCTTAATATCAAACTTGGATGACCTATTAAACTTTGCAATTATTTCATAAATATAATTTTAAAAAATACTTTTAAAAATGGAAGTCTATCTATTGGCATTTTTCTTCTTATCTATAGGTTGTCAAATTTACAATTGCTAACTGACACATGGTACAAAGTATAAATTCATCACACTGCAAGTTTTGTTAAAAGTGGCTCTAAGCTTGTATTGCCAAAACAGCTCTGTGTTTATTTTTCTTTAAAGAAGGCAATGCCCGTGTTAGGAGCCTAAAACTTAATCTCACACAGAGACTCCACACTGATCATTTTCTGGCTGGGTCAGAAAATGGGTTCTTGTGTAGGGATATTTTCTCAGAGGATTAAAAGTGTGGATGAAGTGGGAGACATTTAATCCTCTGTCTGTTTCTTAGAACAGTCCATTTGAAAGGACAGATGCAGCTCTTGGCAAAACTATGGCAAGCACTTCAGTGTCAGTATTTTCCTCATACAACTAATTATTTTTCTGACTAGTTATTTTTTTAAAAGCTGCAGAATTTGGTTCATGACTTTGTGATTTGCAACTGGTTATGGTCAAAACTGGATCAGACATCCTATTTTCCTGATTTTTGACAGTTGCTCAAGAAAGAGAGCCTTTGGTATACTGAAGACTCTCCTGCCCATATTGGACTGGCTCCCCAAATACAGAGTCAAGGAATGGTTGCTGAGTGACATCATCTCTGGAGTTAGCACTGGGCTAGTGGGTACCCTACAAGGTAAGATGCTGGTGGACAGGTCTCAAGTGATGGTGAGTTACTGTCTCTTCCCCACTCCTCCCACCGTGGACCCAGTGCTCACTCTCCTCTCAGGACCTCACCCTTTCTCTAAGGTGCCTTAGCAGAGTCACCTATCTTCTCCTCTTTCATAAAGATATTTTCCTAGGAAAGATTGTTGTTTCTCTAGTTGTGTGGCTCCAGGTTACAGAGATGTCCCAAGCCAGAGATCCCTAAAGATACTGACCACAGTACACAGAAAGAAATGTGCATTGCATCGTGGTATGTACTCACATAGCTAAAGTTTTGTAAAGTAATACAAATAATATGTTCTGATATTCTCTATTATGTTCTGATGGTTTTTAAAAACTAATTCTTTAAGCTCATTGGATAACTTTATTTCCGTTCCCTGCACAGATCTTGACCTGCAGTGTGAAAGCACTCTAAAGGAAAGAAAGAAGTATCTTAGCTTGGATTTTTACTCCCAGTTCTCCAAAGTTTCCAAATCATGACAACAGAACTCATTTATTTGGTATAATTTACAGACTACCTAGTGGGTAGAACTAGGTAAATTATCAAGACTAAGATGCAATGAAGGAGCTCATAGCCCATTGAAAAATGAATGCTCATAGTTCAGTGTGCTAAGAACTGTGGCAGGAGAGATGTCCTCTACTAGGATAATGGCAGTGAGGTGTATTTTACCCCCTCTTATAGGATTGGGGGTAGCTTCCTGGAAGTAGAGTGATCAAAGAGTTCTCCTGAAGGTGACAGATGAGTCTGCCAAGAAATGGGAAGTGGTGTAGGGGGTGGGCATGTGGAGAAATAGCTTGAAAATAGACTATTTTAGAAGCTTGTAATAAATATTAGGCAATGTTGTGCATTAAAATCTGGCTGTGGCCAGGCAGTGGTGGCACATGTTTTTAATCCCAGCACTCAGGGGGCAGAGGCAGGTGGATCTCTATGAGTTCCAGGCCAGACTATAAAGAGAGTTCCAGAACAGTCAGGGCTACACAGAGAGACCCCTGTCACACACACACACACACACACACACACACACAGAACAAAAAATAAAAACATGTGCATCACTGCTGCCCAGCTGCAGAATTCTTTACTTGGTGCTTTTTTTTATGGCACAAAGGCTACTAATACTTGACAAGCTAAGGATTACTCAAGTTTACTCAGAGCAGGCACAGGGACATCCCCACAGAGAAGGAAAAGGCTCTGCAGCCCCAGTGTAGAGCCTCAGTTGGACCCAGTGTGCTCTATATCCCAAAGGTGAGGGGTGGGGTATGTTCTATACTGTGGCTCTAAAGTCTGTAAAGTGAGTTGGCTGTGATGGTGCACGCCTTCAATCCTAGCACTTGTGAGGCAGAGGCAGGTGGGTCTTGAAGTTTGAAGTCAGCCTGGTCTACACAGAGAAATCCTGTCTCAAAAAACCACTAAATAAATGCCATAAAGTGGCAGCATCCAGGGCTCCTGGGGAATAGGAGCCTTCTCCATCCCATGGCTGTTGAGGCTCTGTCTTCCACAGAGATCAGCTATAGTAGGTAGCTCAATCAATATTTAGTAAAAAGGACTGAACTTCATTCCTGGCAATAAATCATTTGTATACATGAAAAATGTGGAGTTTTTTAAGGGCCCAGGCATTCTCAGTTGTCATAGACAAGTGTGTTATGAAGATAAATTTTACCACTGGGAGATGGAATTCAGTGGCAGAGTGGAATCCCAGTGGTTTTCCCCAGCAGAGGGAAAAAAGATAAATTTTGCTTAATATGTATCAGAAACATTTCCTTTCATTCTCATAGGAACTCCGAGAGAGGGGTACTATTACCATAGTCCCTTTAACAATAAGAAATTTGTTAATTCTTGCCCAGATCTTGGTGTGGGTGAGTGCTAGTGCTGGGACTTGAATGCTGTCTGACCCTACATTCTTAACTTGTACACTGTAGTTCCTCATTTTACAGATGGCTTGTTTTCCAGAAATAATGCTATAAACTTATCTTTGCTAGGTATGTTTCTGGAAGGTAAATTTGGCTCACACACACTTGCTTATTGATCATGCACAGAATAAACTTCTATGGCTCATTCTGTACTTCAGCAATTCAGCCATCACTAACAGACACAGACCTTGTGGATCAAGTCCAATGGTAAAGGTAGGAATATAGAGCATGATAGGTGCTCATTTGGGAAGGAAGGGCTATTTTATAGACTGTGGTAAGGAAGGCCTAAACGAAGAGAAGAGATTTAGACAGAGCCAGGAGATGACTGGGAGCCACCCATGTGATAGCTGAACTAAGACTACCACGTAAAGATGCAAAGGACCTGAGGACAAACAGGGAGGAAAAGGACTGGACAAGGCCAGGGTCTGGGTGAAGCAAGGACACACTCTCAGGGGCCTGATTAAATAATGTTCCCAAGGCAGCTCATTGCTTCCTCCTAAACCCAGCCCTGAGGGTAGCTTTGCCGCCTTGAGCTGAGTCACACAGGACTTAGAGAGCGCTGCAAGATATGAAACACATTCTGCAGCAGCCATCATCATGTTCTGCTAAGTGCAGCTGAAAACCGGGCAGCTCGGCCAGGCAGTGGGAAGGCACACTCGCAAGGAAATGCAACTGCCTCACCAGGCCGAGCTCAGTTCCTGCTGGGGCTTGGGAGCATTGGTTAGTCTTGGTGCAACGCTTCCATCTAGATTATGTACTTGCTTGAAAGCTATTCTGGAGCACATGAATGTCTGGGGAGGTGGGCAGGCGGTTCCAGGTGAAAGGAAGGAATTGGGGTGAAGGCAAGGGAACATTTGTGAAATCCCATGGGCTGAGCTGACCCAGGATAGAAGTGAGGGCAAGATGGCTCAGTGGTGTGGACAGAGTGGTTGGTTCAGAGTAGAAGTCTTATGATGATAAAGCAATGGATGCCCCAGTAAAGATTCCAGAGTGTGTAGGCTGGAGGGCTCCAGGCCACAGCTAACGAGAGCTAGGCTCAAATGGGGACTTTGGAGGCTATACTGCAACTCCAGTGGTGACAGAGTCTATGACTTGCTTGCTAGCTGGCCCCTTGAAATGCTGGGAGAAGAGTCTGGGTTTGCTCAGGGTATGGGGTCTTTTGATTCCTAATATTAAAAAGTAAATTCCTATTAAGCAACAAAAGACCTACAAGCCCTTTTATTGGAGTCTTTACTCATAGCTATAGGGAGTTTCCTGTCTGGTTTTTATCTTGGACATTAATTGATTTATTTAATACATAATAGGAATTTATTTCTCAGTTTTTAAAGCTAAGGAGTCTGAAGTCATGACCTGTTGGGTTGTATCCTCACATGGTGGAAAGCCTTTCCTTTCAGATGGTTTCAATTTAGCTTACATGCCACTGTCCTATCCAGCCTATGCACCAGCAGAGAGTTCACACTTTCAATCAACAGTTTAGGTTTCTTTACAAGCCATATTATATCAAAAATGTTGTACCTAATTCCTTTGTAACAAAGATAACTATGTTGTTTGTACATGAATAAAAGTTACCCTAAATTGACAGTGTGTGAGAACTGAAAACGTCCCTGTTTCCCAGGCATATTAAGACGTGTAGGCAGAAGCACAGAGAAGAGAAATGAAGAGATCCAGCACCTTGTTCAGGGAGCGCCCAGTTTGAGGACTTGAAAACTGTCCATAGGAAACAGGCGGGCTGTGCCTTCATGCTCTGTTCCTTTTCCTATTGTGTCTTGGCGAATCGGCCTCTTCTGTTCCTGGGAGAGCTGATTATTGCACTTCCTAAAAGTGCACGGGGGTGGGGTGGGGTGTGTGTGTGGGGTGTGGTGGTGGTGGTGGTGGTGGTGGTGGAGGAGGAGGAGGAGGAGGAGGAGGATAGCTCAGCAGTGAAGAGCCCTTGCTGCCCAAGGGCTGAGGGTCTGAGTGTGAGTCCCCAGGGTTGAATTTTCACTCCTAAAGTGTGAATTATGCAGATATACCATGTGTTAAGGCATGCTGACTACTGAAATGTTTAACTAGGAAAGAATATGTCATTATCCTTTTCCAACTCCTATGTCCACTGAAATGTTGGTTTCTCCATAGCCTGAGATCCATAGCCCAGAGGCTGCCTGGCATAGCCCACTGGTGGGTCAGCCTCCCTCATCAGGGTAGAGTTGTCTTGTTGTTGTTTTTTTTGTTGTTGTTGTTTTTTTTTTATCTAACTTCTGTTCTTTAGCAAAGAAAGATAAAGTGCAATGGTGCCTGCATCCTTCAGAACATAGAGAAATATGAGTTCATAGAGAACTATTCACATAAGCTGGTCTGGGCTTTGGGACTGGATTAACCAAATTATACCGGAACTGATTTAATTATTTTCCAACTGATATCATCAGCCAGTGACTGAATTACTGAGCAATGGAGTCAGTTCATCTGAGCAGGGGATGGGTGTAGAAAGCCTCATTACCCCAGCCAAGTCATATTTCACATCTTAGCATAGCCAAGGTCTGCATGCAAAACAAGAAAACCACACAGGACCAGCTGATATTTTGAATCCATGAACTGAGAATGTCTATTAAAAAGCATTTCTTTGTGTGGTAAAAACATGCTGTAATTTTTGTTTGTGACTCTTACTGTGTTGGTTGTACCTTAGGGATGGCTTATGCCCTGCTAGCTGCAGTTCCTGTTGAATACGGTCTCTACTCTGCCTTTTTTCCTATCCTGACGTATTTTGTCTTTGGGACATCAAGACACATCTCAGTTGGTAATTACAAGCATATTTTACAGCTATATTTGTTCATCTGTAAATGTTTCTGCTATGATATATATATATATATACAATGCCTCCAGACCTTTGCCAATGAGTCCTAGAGGAACCAAACTTCAGGGTTTTGCCACTTTCTTTATTAAATGGCATTGTTAGCTTTATACATAACTGTGCTTTTAAAAAATGCAATTGAAAGACTGAAAATTAAAGCTTACTTTTGAGTTTTATCACGGCTTAAAATTTGTAAATGTAATGAAATTGACTCTATATTTAAAAGTGATCTATCTTTTCCAACATATGACAGAGAAAAAAAGTCTTTACCAGATCTAAATCCACTTATATTACTAGGTTAAATTTGTATTTACTGGCCCGGTGGTGGTGACGCACACCTTTAATCCCAGCACTGGGAGGCAGAGGCAGGCGGATCTTTGTAAGTTCAAGGCCAGCCTGGTTTACAGAGCGAGATCCAGGAAAGGCGCAAAGTTACACAGAGAAACCCTGTCTCAAAAAATCAAAAAAAAAAAATTGTATTTACTGAATTATGGTCACCAAATACACATTTGTTATTTTATAAAGGAACATAATTATTTCAGTAAGGAATATTGGAAGACTGGCAAAATCCTGCCAACACAATTTAGAAAAAGCTTTGTATTACTTCTTGACATGACTCACAGAGTTTTCCTTTTATTCCTAACATTCAAGGTAGTTTTTTTTTTTTCTGGAATATTCTAGAAAATAAATGTTTTGATATAATTTTATGTGACTTTGGCATCAGCAATGAAGATAATTTTGCTTCTACATCCATGTGCTGGTGAGGTATGTTTTCTGGATGGCCCTCTTGAGACAACAAAGGTAGTCCCATCCTCAGGGGCGCCCTGTACCCTTGTGCAGGATGCTGCCTCTCACAGACTCTAGCCTCTGACCTATCTGCAGAAGCAGGTCAGGAGATGCCTACTGATTGAAACAACTTTTTTGGAGAACCAGTCAATAAGAGACAAATGGATTTGCCTCTGGCATTCACTACATGTAGATTTTCCTGGTTACCAGGTTTGGGTATTGAGGCCTCTCAAGCATAATACCTTTTATAACCAAAGGATAGGATCATCATCAACATGGAAAAAAAATGTAAGTAGTAAATAGAAGAAATCAATAAAGTAAAGTTTTAAAAATAGGATGTTATTAACTGGCATATGATAAAAAAGAAATCACATTCCAATCCTTTGTCAATTTGGACACTTGACGTTGATATTGATGGAGGTACTTGTGTCTGGAGATCAGGATTTTGGACACTCTAAAAGATGAGATCATAGAGGATAAATACTAAATTGAATAAGTAAGGATTCAGTTTATGTGTGTCTCTGACAGGAAATCTTTCCTGATAACTCCCATACACTGTGACATGAGGATCCCACACAGAAGGGCCTGGTACCCTCCCTACACACTCACGAAGTATGCTCAATACTGCTTTACTACCATCTGCCTACATCTTGTCTTCTCTGAGTCAGGAATGCCTTGAGATTCTCAGCTTCCTCCAACAGTAATTCTTAGTTGCAGCCAACTACCACACACCTTTCTAATAGTACATAGACATATTGAGTCTAAATGTCTGTGATTCACTACTGATTAGTTGTTTTAGCTAACTACCACACACCTTTCTAATAGTACATAGACATGTTGAGTCTAAATGTCTGTGATTCACTATTGATTAGTTGTTTTAGCTAACTACCACACACCTTTCTAATTGTACATAGACATGTTGAATCTAAATGTCTGTGATTCATTATTGGCTAGTTGACAAAGCCTTTTTCCCCAGGACCTTTCCCCGTGGTCAGTTTAATGGTGGGATCTGTTGTTCTGAGCATGGCTCCAGATGACCACTTTCTTGTGCCCAGTGGTAATGGAAGTGCATCAAACATGACCACGTTAGATACCGGAACCAGAGATGCGGCCAGAGTACTAATTGCAAGCACCCTCACTCTTCTAGTAGGAATAATACAGGTAATAAATAGGCTTACACAGATGAGTGTAATTCTTATTTGAAATAATTAATTTTAAAATGTGGAGATTTAAAGATGCATCTAACTGCAAGACAAACTCCTTGAACTAAAACTTATTTTGAGTTCTAATGTTATTTTCTAAATAACATTGTTTTTGTCAGATTGTAAAATGACTTTGAAAACAAAAACCAAACAAATAAACAAACAGAAACCAGAATCACTTGTTACCAAAGTCTGAGAAAAGAAAGCAAACAGAACACAAGTGATTGCGAGTGTGTGGGGCAGTGGAGCAAGTGTTTTCACTGACACAATGTTTAATTCGTTACTATTTCCAGAGAATTGTTCCTTCTCTCAGGCAAACATCTAACTTTTTCCTTTCATCTTACCCTAGCTGATATTTGGAGGTCTGCAGATTGGATTCATAGTGAGGTACTTGGCAGACCCTTTGGTTGGTGGATTCACAACAGCTGCTGCCTTCCAAGTGCTGGTCTCACAGCTAAAGATCGTGCTCAATGTTTCAACCAAAAACTACAATGGCATCCTTTCCATTATCTATGTAAGTGCTGCATTATCACTGCAGAGACATCATGTTTCCTCTCTCCAGATTGAACCTGGAGAATCCATTTTCTGGGTACACTTGGAACCATCAAAACACACTTTTATGAAATCAGCAAACCATCATTTTTCAGCTGCTCCAAACCTTTCCCGATACTTTCGCCCTCAGAAACATGAAGGAATCTGAGGTAGCGTAGCAATAAAGATGACAGGGCTGAGATGTTATAGACTTGCATTCTGGTCCTGCATTGCCTCTGATAAACTAAGTGACCCCCTAGACAGATCATATAGGGTAGTGGCTGAAAGTTCAGGTTTGCAGTTGGGTGAGTCTGGATTCAAACTTTGACTTTACTACTTACTAGTCTCATGAACAAACCACAATGCCTCAGTTTCTGCAGAAACTGCAGAATGGAGTTACAAATAGTAGCTACCTCACTGGATTGTTAGAGGAGGATTGTTGGATAATTGATTCAGGGGATGGCATATAGCAAGTTCCAGAAAAGTTATCATTATGGAGTTATTATTTCAAGCCTTTCTTTTTCTTTCTTGTTTTTAAAATGAAATGATTGGAGATGTGTCTCTCAAGCCCTTTCTAACTATGACCATCCATAATGCATAATGTAAATGTTTCAGCAATTATAAATGAAAACGGAACATTAGATTTAAAGCTGATTCAACATGCAAAAGATATGCAAAAGAAAGGGTCTAGATCATACAAAGTAGATTTGAAGTTCTTAGATCTAAGTATATGTTCTATATAAAGTATGTTACAGATGCTTGGGAAATGGTGATAATAGTAACATGATGTCACTCTGGCTTGGAGAAATGAAGCCATGCAAAAGTGCATTTAAAAAACAAACAGGAACTGGGGCTATAGCTTAGTTGGTAGACTGCTTGCCAAGCATATATGAGACCCTAGGTTCAATTCCCACCACTGAATTCATGTCTATAATCCTAACACTTGGGTGTTGAAGGCAGGAAGATCAGAAGTGCTGAGTTATCTTCACCTACACAGTGGTTTGAAGCCGGCCTGAGCTAAAAGATAAAAATTAGCATCTGAAAACAATATATGACCATACACACATTTAAAAGAGCAAGGTTGTAAAAAAAATGTTCTCCGTTTCAGTACCATAATCCCTCATTACTCAGTGTACACTCCATCCTTTAGCAAATGTTGCCAAGAGCTCACTCAGGCTGTGTACTAGGCTAGCAGTTAGAATAGATGGAGGAAGAGTAACACCATCGCTAACAGTCACATTTGAACATCGACAGACTGGAGTGAGAGTCTACTTGTATGGCCTTGAATATTGTGTGGCCCTGGGGCTAGAGAAATGGATCAGCATTTATGAGCACTTGTTCTTTCAGAAGATCTGGTTTCAGATCCCAGCCCCCACATGGTGGTTCCCAACAATTTGTAACTACTTTTAAGGGATCTGATACCATCTTCTGACCTCTACAGGTACCAAGCATATACATGGTGCACAAACATACATGTAGACAAAACACTTGCACATAAAAAATGGAATAAACTTAATGAAATTAAAAAAGAAATAATTCGCTAATACCCTGGGTCCTATGTTTTTTTTTT